TTTTTTTTTTTTTTTTTAAAGCCAGAATGGCTTTATTATTGGCAGCACTGAGCCCAAAACAGCAGCCAGGGTTTTAATTTGGGTTCTGTGATGCTTCCAATTTTTTGGTGCCTGCTTGAGGCCCCTCAAGTTGGGTGGCCAAAATTACCGGCTCTTCTTGGGAAGAATCTTCATCTATTCCGTGTTTTTTAGCTAGTTGTTGACAGCTTAAGGTTTCTACCGTAAGGATGAGTATTTTAAGAAAATGCTTAACAATTTTGCTTAAAAGTACACTTCTCTGGCATTCTAAGGTTTTATCACTTCCTTATTTATTCATGGACTTATTTCCTGAGAAGGCCCTGATCCTTACATGAATAACTGTCCACACGACTAGTTCCAACTTTCTTTCATGTTGATAAAGTTGCTCCCACGCACATGTATGCCAGAGCAGAACATCTGTTTACAGTTTCGTAAAGCAGCTTGGGTTGAGTGGTAAAAGGAGCATATTGACAGCACAAAGACGAAAGGCCTTGGAAAAAACAAAAGCCTTAACTAGGAGAACTGCAAATCGCAATCTTTTAAAATTGAAGCAAAAAGCAGGGGCTTGCTGAAGTCCATTTGAAGTGCCCTGAGAAAAATCCCAAAGCCTAGTAGCTTCAAGTGCTCTTGGGATCTTTGTTTTTTTGTTTCCTTTTGGTTTTTTGCTTGCTGTTGTGAAATCGTCTGCTTTGGTCTGTGCTTCGTAGAAGGCTCTGCCCATTCAAAAAAGGACATTTTATCCTTCAGTCCTTTCTGTAGGCTTTTTTGCAAGCTGGATTTGTGGATGACTCATCTCCGCTTAGTCTCCATACCTCATCGTCATGTCTACTCAGTTGTTTACAAAGTGTAGCTCCTGTGCTTGAGGCTAGGAAAAACCATTTATTTTAGAGTGTTTGTTTTTCCTAGTTCAAACTGACCAACGATGCGAATAGAGCAGCTGAATTTTAAAAGCAACACTTGGTCAAAAGTTCTCTAAATTCAGTGCAATAGACTGCAGAGGAGGGAAACTTTTGAGTGCCTGAGGAGCAGGTTTGCTGAACTACAGATAGTTTATAATGAAGCTAACCACCTCATCTAGCCAGCTGGCTAGCCAGCAATTAACTTTGAAGGATTTCTTTTTTTTTTTTTTTTTCCTTTGGTAGGCAAATACATGCAACTTAATAGTTACACTCTTCAGTGGGATGCCAGTTGAGAAATCTCATTTATCTGGACTTTTTTTTTACTTGCTAACAAAAATTAACACTCAAAATGAATGAGTGATAATGCTTCAGTTTTTTTAGTTTGCTTTTTTTCCTTTTTTTTTGCAGTTGGCAATTCTAGTAATTTCCTCCTTTCTCCTGTGGTTTGTGTGGATCTTTTGAATGGCAACATGAGAGTCCTTTTAAAGGGAAAGAGGGAAGTGTGATTTAAAGCCACAAGTTGACAGACAGTCTGGGAGAAGGCACAGCACTTGGAACTGCTCTAATTAACACATGAAATTGGAGCTGGGTGTCCCTCTAACCTCATATTTAAGTTTGTCATGTATCTTTTATACCAGTTAGTTCTGGTCGTCTTGCTCATATGGAAAAGGTAAAGTTTTGCCATGTGTAACATGCTTTTTAATATTTTTGGTGTGATATTTTTATATAAAATACAACTAACTTTTTCTTTAAATGAACAATCGCCACATATTTGGTGCATTTCAATTAAGGTGTTTGAGAGAAACTGGCAGGCAAATACTCCACTAGGCACTGGCTTTCATGTAATATCACATGATACTAAGTCACAGCTAATTAATTGGTAGACTGGTACTTGGATAAATTAAATCCCCATATATTCCCTTGAAAAGGAAATTTATATGCACCTTGTAGAAATCGTTCCTTCCCCAACTGAAAAGGATTTTTAAAATGATCAATGCAGGTCTTTGACGAGCTTGAATTATTATTTCGCATCATGGACTGAATAACGTGCCACCTCCAGGTTACTGCCATTATGCAGCACTTGAAATGTTTCATAGTTGTCTCCTAAGACTAGGTGCTTAGCATGTGAGCTTGTAGAGTTTTATGCTGAAGTTTTGAAAGGATTTGGAAAACACAGTGTCCTCTTAAAATTTGGTAGAAAGGGGGGGATTAGGGGGTGGGGGGAGGTTTGGTAACTTTGGAAGTTTCATTCCAAATTCTTAAATGATGCTAGAATAAACTAGGGGTTGCATCATGAATGAAGGGGGAAACTGTCATATAAATAGCTTATTTCTATCAGAGGTAAGCCTGCCAACATGTAGAAATAGCCAGCTTTCTGGAAATCAAATCTTGGGTTCTTAAGGTCCTCACACTATGTTGTGTCAATGAAAAATTAGTTAACTTTTTTCATTGGAAGAGTTATTTAATGGATGAGTTGCCTTTAAGAGGCACCGCCTTCAGTTCATAGCACTTGATAAGAATCTGGGATTTGTAAACTTTGAAACTTTTTTTATTACGGTTCTGTTTCAAAGATGGTATAAAAGCAGTTGCCCCCCCCCGATTCCAGTAATCCAAAGGTATTTCTCTGTAGATCTTCCAATTGCGTGAAATGATTGCTTGTAGCAAGGATCATGTCAGAATAAGTGGTTGGGATTTTTTTTCCCCCCAGAGATGTATAAATGGTTTATCTGTTCAAGTCCTTTTAAATGAGGTGGTGATACTTGGAGAGGGTGTATTCATCCCTGTTCAGCTTTGTGGTATAGCTGTTACCCCTGAAGAGAAGCTATGCCAGTGTTGGAAGAAACTGGATTTTCTTCCGGCCACCTATCCTAAAGTTTCATATGGATGTTGCAAATCGGAGGCCAACAGGAAATTGCTTGTGGACTGGGAAAGTGAAGAACTGGTACCTACTGGGAATGGGGAGGAGGTGTGGGGGGCAGGGGAAGAAATTTCTAATAGGTTGTACTTATTCTGGAAAGTCGCTTGAGACCAGTAACCTGGAGCTGCACATATATCTTGTTTTTAGCCTCACTTTTTCAAAGCATTACTTTAAAATGCGACTGCTGGGCTATATTGGGTTCTAAGTAAGCAGGAAAATTATAGCTGTAGAGTAAGACCAGGTAACATGCTGTCTTCAGTGTGAACTCTTCAGCATCTGGAACTCCATTGCTTAAATACTGAACTAACCTGCATTATTTTGAATAGTTACGTGGGTTTTTGTTCCTTTCAACTTCTTAGCTTTAATCCTGCTGATGACTTTGGCCTGGCCAGTTCGGGTTGATCCTGCAATCATTAGGGTTAGTGGCAAAGCTTCTATTGACTAAGTGGTGAAAGATAAGACATCAGGGATCAGTCTGTACTGCCTTCAGCAAGGGTCTGAACAAGTCACCGAGGAATAAACCACACCTCCTCGTAATGTGCTTAGGCCTGCAAATTTATGGAGTAGACAAGAGCCCAAGTGTTAATTCATGCACTCTGGGCCTCAGCTGTTGACTGCAAATCTGCAGGCCTGGGTGTGAGTGTGTGGGGTTCATTTTTGGTAACACTCCCCAACAGTCTTGGGATGCAGTGAGGCCCCAGATGGCCAGATTTACCTAGCTGAGTGCTGGGACTTGGACCATGTTTTCAGATGGTTCTGTTACTCTTTAGGAATCAGTATAATTTTTCAAGACTACTGAGAGTTTGCATGTCAAGTGTATTACCCTCGAAAATCGGACTGCTGTAATGGAGACAAGGTGAGCTCTTACACAGAACTGAAGTTGTTGTCGAGCACTTGAAAATCTAGGACTAACCCTGTGTAATCTTCTGTATTTTATAATCAAAAGCAGACCAATAGTTTAAGGGTGGAAAGGGAACATCCTAAAGCCTTGCCTAGTTTTCCTTTTATTGCAGGAATCATAACGTAGCTCTTGTTTACTCCAGCTTGAACTGCTGGATCTCTGGGCTAAAGCATCTTCACCAAAGTTATGTAGAGTAGCATCTCGTTTAGGAGAAAACTGAGCGCTCGTTTGTTCTGCCAACAACTTTCTCTTGAATTTTAAACTTTGTATGTGAAACACATGTATTGCTGCTTTGTCTGCAACAAACGCACATATTTTTTTTTAAGGGAGATGAGTGTTAAATATTGTTTTTGTTTTAAGTTGGTATGTGCAGTTTTTAAAACTGCATTTCTGCCTTTCTTGGAATTTCACATAGTACTTTTTTTTTAAAGAGAACATATATTTAACATTGCAGAAAAAATTGGTTTCTGAAATGCTGCTACAGTCATAACACTGGAGCTCAAGGAATAAAATGTTTGATCTTTGTCCTTGTAAGACTCGTGTGTGTTTGTTTGTTAACTTTATTTTGGAGAAGTGGTGTTCAGGGCTTAACAAGGAGGGTTGGAAGGGTTTTGACAGAAGGGAGGGAAAAAGCTAAGATTTTACCTATCTATACTTGTAGCTAGTTTAAATTCCTTGCATTTACAATTATTTGTAAAGTAATTTACACTCATTCAAGAATAATCCTGAAGAGATGAACAACTCCTTTTCCAGGAGGAGTGAGTTTGGCAGGAATTGTTTAGCCTTTGAAATCAACAAATACAGAATTGTTGGCTTATTCAATAATGTTTTTTCCATTACAAAACTGATAGAAACTTAAAATTCCTCCTTAGCTGAAATGTTTGGGTTTTTCCTCCTTTCAGAGTAATGCCCAATATTCTTAACTGTGTGTCTGTTGGGTTTTTCTTAGTATTTATGGAATTGAGTAATACAAGATTCTGTCTCGGTCATGTACGCTCAGCATTAACACATTATTGGTTTGTGTTATGTTTAGCTTCAAATGTTATACTTGTGTAAATTATTCTTGTTTGTTTTTGTTGTTCTCTTCCTCTTACCCCCCCAAAGGCAACTTTAGGTACTAGAACCACCATGCCAATCTGTTTTCACCCCCTCTTTCAGCTTTCGGA